GCCCCCCATCCCCTTCTGCACCCCCATCCCCTGCTCTGTGCCCCCATCCCCTGCTCTGTGCCCCCATCCCCTTGTACATCCCCCATCCCCTGCTCTGTGTCCCCATCCCCTGCTCTGTGCCCTCATCCCCTGCTCTGCGCCCCCATCTCCTTGTGCATCCCCAGTTCTGTGTCCCCATCCCCTCCTGCACCCCCACCCTCTGCTGTGCCCCGATCCCCTTCTGCACCCCCATCCTCTGCTCTGCGCCCCCATCCCCTTCTGCATCCCCCATCCCCTTCTCTGCGCCCCCATCCCCTTCTCTGCGTCCCCATCCCCTTATGCATCCCCTGCTCTGTGCATCCCATCCCCTTGTACATCCCCCATCCCCTGCTCTGCGCCCCCCATAACTTTGTGCGCCCCCATCCCCTTGCTCTGCGCCCCCATGCCCGGCTCCCCGCCCGTCCCGCTGGAGACGCTGCCGGGGGCAGGGGGGAGCGGAGCACGCGCGGGGCCGGGGATCGGCGCGTGCAGCATCAGCACCGGAGCAGCAGCGGCAGCGGGAGACGCGTCGGGCTGGGCTGCAGCGGGGGATGCGACGCGAGCCCCGGGCTGAGCTGCCGGCCCCGAGCACTCCCCGCCGCCCCCAGCATGGACACCCGCCTGCTCTGCCTCCTCCTCGCCGCCTGCGCGGCCGTCCTGCCGCTGGACCGCCACCGCTGCCCGCCCCGTAAGTGCCGCGGCCGCGGGATCTGCCCGGCTCCGCAATGCGGGACGAGGCCCTGCTGCCCCCCTCCCAGCCCTAAACAGCCGCCAGCTTCGCTGCCCTTTCCCAGCGCCCGGGGAGCCCCCCCCTTCCCCGCTGTAGAGACGGGGAAACTGAGGCACCGCGAGGGGAAGGGACTTTCCCAAGGTCACCTGGCCAGGTGGTGGCAAGGTCAGGGATAGACCCCACGAGCCCTGTTCCCAAGCCCCAGGGTCCCTTCTCCCGCTGGGATCAATAGTTCTCGTGCCATGGATCCAGCCCAGCCTGGTGGGTGCAGAGCAGCTCCCCCCCCCGCCCACTGCAGCACCTGCCTGGCGCTCACTGCAGTCCTGAGACCAGCAGCCAGAGACAACCTCAGCCCCCGCTCCCTCCCTGCAGAGCTGCCCAGCCCCGAACCCCCAGCAGCCCCCTGCCCGCCGGCAGCTGTGTGGGCAGAGCCCCTGCGCCCTGTCCCCCTCCCCAAGCTACTTCTCCGTGGCTCCCTGGAGCAGCAGCAGCTGCTGCAAAAAAACTTCCCCAGGAGCTGAGGGGTGTGGGGGTGCTTGGCTGGGGGCGGGTGCCCATGCAGAGTGATTTTGGCCCCGGCTGTGGGGAGGTGCCATGACCCCCTCTGTGCAGTGTGGAGCCCGCGTGCCTGGCTGGAGTGGGGCTGC